TCTTGCTTTACGACGTCAGTGTGAAATCGTAAAGTATTTCAAGTAAACATAAATAAATGCATAAATAGTATTGAAAATCGGAAATAGGGAAGAGAAGGAGCAGTCTGTAGTAATCAAGTGATTATGTAGATTGTCCCTTTAACAAGTCTTCAATATTGAGAAACCAAAGAAATAAAAATCTGCAACAGCAAATATTACACAAAGCGTTGATCTATTATTACTGACTTAGAAAATAGTACTATATATATAGTCAAACAATAATAAAACAACAAATAAACAATTTTGAAACATAAACCTTCATAAAACCTCAAAGCAGAAAAATAACTCAAGTACAGGCGCGCATGCGAAGTATCTCAAGTTGCGTTTTTGTATCTCAAATGTAAAAATGCGCCGATGTTGCACGTTTTTTATTCAAATTTATTTAATTTTTATTTTTTATTTTAAAATTTTTAATGTTTTTTGCCCGACAATTGTTTTCGCATTAGTCACATTTGTTCGAATTCGATGTTTGCCTTGTTAACCAAATTCGAGTGAGTTTGTGGGCTCATAAAATTTTTATTCTTATCGGCGGCCTCAAATCCGCTTTTATAGAGTGTGACGCTGCTAAAGTTTAATATTCTGTGACGAATGGTCTATTTTATTTGAATATTCTATTTCATGAAACCGCTTGGCTAACTATAGTTATGTGGTTTTATAATATTTATTTAGCATTTTATGCTATTTCGCAATAAATTTTGAAGTGAACTTATCTCTCCAGATATCTTAGTTTTCTGAAAGTTACTAAAAACTAAATTAATTTCGTTAAGATATAATATGAATAATTTTATGTCCTACTTTTATCTAGATTAGGGAATAGATATTCTGAAGAGGTTACATTTATCTTTTTTAATCAAAGCTGCTAAAATATTAAAGTCGATTAAAAAGTATGGAACTTACGCTGGTGATGATTCATATTTCTTTGTTTAGGGATAGATTTCATAGTATAATATGTAAAACTGTATTGCAAATCGTTTTAGTTCACATCATTCAAACTTTTGATGAGTGTTAGCTTCCCTCGCAATATCCATGCAATTTGTTTACACCTGCATTTTCGCTTCAGTTTCGGACTTTCATCTCTTTTATAATTTTAATTTCCAACTACTATTAGTTTTTCAGTTGACCCCTTGCTTAAAATCCATCGTACATGAAAGCCCTTTTTCCTTTTTAACGTCGGAAAGAGTTTTTCCTTCCTAACGTTGGAAAGTCTCTTTTCTTCCTAACGTTAGAAAGCCTCTTTCCTTTCTAAAGTTGGAAAGCCTATTTTCTTCCTAAATTTGGAAAGCCTCTTGCCTTCCTAAGGTTGGAAAGTACCTTTCCTTCGTAACGTCGAAAAGTCTTTTACCTTCCTATTATCGGAAAACTATTTTCCTTCCTAACGTCGGAATGCCTTTTTACTACCTTGATAAGTTTCAGTTTCCTTCACAATTTCTTTTGATATCGACCAAACCGGTGATTTAGTCCATAGTTTTAAACTTTTATTTTCCTTGAGCAGACAAATTTGAACTACGTAAACTAATGGTTTTCCCTCAACCTCTTATTCAGGATCAGTATTCCTTTTTTTTTTTTAAATTTAACTTTAATAATCAAAAAAAATATGATGAAAAAATGATCATATTACAAAAATACTAAACTCATCTCTATTAGTCAGTACAAAATATTAATCAGTTCGAATGATATAGATTATTCTTTTCAGTACCAACGAGAAGTATTATTAAATGTCATTGCTACCTTGAAATATACGCCTCAGAGTTTTATGAATCTGGATTAGTCAAAACAAAAAACTTTAACCAACTTTATAGAAGACAATTTTTCCTACTGTCCTTTTTAAGATGGTTCTTAAACCTCTTAGTTCGTATATAGTAACACAATATATAAAGAAGCTTCATGTATCTAACCTACCCTAACCTAATCTTTCCCAGAAAAAGATGGATTAATATGTGACAATAGTAGCATATGGTACTACATCACGATTAAATTTAGGTTAATATAAATTTTTTATCTATGAATACAAGTTAAAAGTAGTTGGATTCGTTTGTGACCGGTCTATTCCGGACTAGTTTGTAATACTATATCCCAGTATATAATTATAACATGAACGAATTTGGGTTAGCATAAAAATTACTGCTTTAAGAAATTTGTCTTTCTTCTTACGATATATCCGGGTAAAGCTCTGTTGAGAAGAGTGTTAGAATGCTTATGATTTTTTAAGGAATATTATGCACCTGTACAAAGAAGTGATTATCTCCATCAGTAATCGATTTGTATTGCTTTCATTGATCTCTCAATGGGGTAGTTATATATGTTTTGAAAATACGAAGGCAGATATCGGCGGTTGCAATGGAGAGGGAGCGTTTCTTTAATTAATGTCCATCTGTGTTGGACACATGAAGAAATTGCTAAGACAATAGTTGGTTATGCTCTTTAATGGGAAGTATTTTTAGTTTGAATATTTATATATGAGACTGGTAGATATGCAATTTACGACTTATTTTAATTGAAATAACTAAATTCTCTTGACAGTTTCGGTGGCTATTGCGAAATATGGGTGATTTGTTGATACTAATCGATTGTTGATTCTGTATTTCGACAACTTGGTTTGAAGTATTACAAAGTCTCATTGTTTTGTCAATTGAGTTGGTGAGTTTTGTTGTAGTACTACCACAAAATTTTAGGTCACCTGCTGAGTAGCTAAGTAACGCTACTCAAATCAATTGTTATGCCTTCGCCAATGTTGATTCATCGACTTGTCAGGGTTTTAACCGTTTCAGCATTTTCAAGTACACAATAAAATAGGTTTCCCAATGTGCTTAATTTGACTCCAGCCATCGCTTCCAATTTCAAGTTTCTAACTCATAACTTTTCATTGTTTTCGCATGTTGTGCACTTTTGAGTTTTTGCTTTAAACTTTTAATTTTTTTTAAATGAAAAGTTTGCGATTAATACTTTTTTATTGTGAATTTTTTCGAACACTGGTAATTTATTTTTGTTTAAATAATTTTAAATAATTTTGGGGTCATGTTGAGCGGTCTGAATTGTTTCCATTGCATTTGCCGTTTATTCTGCATTTATTCAAAAGTCGTTTTTCCATTGAGAATTCTCTTAAATAAAATTTAATTTTAGGTTTGCCAATACTTCGAAGGTCAACTCGAGAGTTGTGCAATTTGTATTGTTACTCCAGCTGTATATTCGATGTTGTAAATACTTTTTGCAGATTCTATGATGATAATGACTTCATTAAATGCGAATGTTGGGAAATACTGTATAAAATTCAATATTAAAAGGTTCTCCAACTCAACTTATTTAAATGGGAATCGCAACCGAAACAAAAGCAATAACAACAATCGAAATGCCATTGGCGAATTGTGAGCTGCAATCGCTTCCAATTGTAATAGCAGAACTTGCGGATAGTAGCACTTTTAAGTGCCTTTTTATTTTTAATATTATGTATTACAAATATTATATCTGTAAATAATTTCTGCAAGTACTTTGAATGTTAACTCCATATATATCAAGAAAAATATCTCAAAGAATATTAATTATCTTTTAAAATTGAAAGTTTTTGTATAGATATTTACTTTAGAACTTTCTAAGTTCGGTGGTGTTAGCAAGCAAAACGATTTCTGTTTACGAGATCGTATACATCTAAATATATCGTAAACAGCTCATACGCTCTCTACTCTCGTACACCTTCCCTGTTTGATCTGCAGTCAATTCTACCCAGATGGAAAGAATTTACTAGATCGTATACATCTAAATATATCGTAAACACCTCATACGCTCTCTACTCTCGTACACTTTCCCTGTCTGATCTGCAATCAATTCTACCCAGATGGAAAGAATTCACCTTTTCAATTACAAGCTCATACGTAATTGCACCAACTACAAACGCAAGCCCGACTTTACAATACCTAGCACCTTTCCTGCCGGCCTCGTCCAAGGTATGCGCTTTTCATCGCTTCCCACTACCTCACGCTATACTTCGATGACAGGCACACTGATGCCTTCATCATCCCACTCTACAATCGAGACTCTTAAGACCCTGGTCACAGAGTCTAACACTAATCTTCTCTGCGTATCTGCAATATCGCCACCCACTTTATATACTCCCTTGTTCACCATGCTTTCTGGCTTGGACCTACACCTCTAGCTATTAAGCCTATTGATCACATCTTTAGTCGGTATTCTTTAGACCTCAAGGTATTGAAATCTCGCACGATTTTAAAATGTTTTGGAGACAATTCAAGACCCTGGTTTTATTCTAGGCCTTACCCTGATGGAGCTACGGTTACTGCTGAACGTTGTTTTACAGAGGCGTTTGAGTTTTGCATGGATACGGAGCTCAGACATTGCGATTTATGGGGTTTTCGAAAGCTGCTTTCTTGTGGAAAAAAGATGGTGGGTGTTGTTGCTGTTTTTTTATCATCTGCAGTGAATAGTCATAGTGGAAATCGAGATATACCAACACATTGAAACTGAAAAGAGGTACTGTATATAAATTAATTGTAATATACTTACGTATGCGTGAAAGATATTGTTGTTGTTGTTGTGGCTGGCGGGCTTATCCCTGCCCCACACTAAATTTTAACTATACTAGAATCATTATCATTTATTTATTTTCTAACTGATGACGAACCGTAGATCAACATAACTTCCTATGGACTTAAGGTTTGTTAGAGCGGGGTTGGGCAACGTAACAACTTTTGTGAATAATTTTAGGGCTCTGTCGTTGATTTACTTTTTCACTGAATCGATTCTTAGATCTCTATTCATGACTGTTGTTCTAATATACCAAGGAATCTTAATTAATCTTCTTAAAGCCAGTAGTGCTATGAAAGGTATTGAAACTTTGATAAGGCCAAAGATATTTTTTTGACTTAATTGCCATCAAAAAATCTAATCTAGTTGACATTATATTTGTTAACAGTTTTATTTGTTGAACTTTCAAATTTTTTTTTTCAAAACTTTCCTAAAATTCGTAAAGTTAGTTTCAAATTTAATGATAAGAATTTAGCAAAAGTTTCAAATGTATTCCGGTAATTATTTTATTATGATGCAAACTTATTATTCAATTTTACATTAAGTTCTTGTGTATTAATCTATAATTATTATTTATTAAGTTGTGGATTATACTTCTAATATCAAAATTATTGATTGGTATTATTTCTTAACAGATAACTTCATTGAACTTCAAAGGAGACATTGTTGATTGGACTCAGTTTATTTGAACTCGATTTTGATGAGAACTGCGGCTGCAGAAATATATTTTTGATCTTTTTTTTTTTGAATCGCTCTCAAGGATTTTGAAGACTACAGTAAGTAGAATTATTAACTTTTGAAAAGCATTCAAAGTTTTTAGTCGATAGGGATTATATTTCAAAAATAGCTATTTTCATAAAGAAACTCAATGTTTTGATAATTGGTCAAGTAATTGGGAGACGTAAATTTTACCCACACATTGTAAACACACCTCACAGAAAAATTTTAAAATTAATTTGTTATATAATTGGGTTTCTAATTTTCTGTGATTTTATATTTTTTGTAATTTTTTGACAGTATAAAATCTAATTGGTTGACATTATCTATTAAATTTAGAGTAGCAGTATATAGCATACTACTACTCTATATTTGTGTAATATAAAAAGTATCCGCTATTCTTAAAGTTCCTTTTAATGAAAAACCATTTTAATTAAGTATATATTGACCATTATTATTTTCGATCTTTTGGCATATACCGATTGGGTAGCTTGATAATTTCAGAGATGTGAAACTTCTGTGGTTTATCGGCGAATAATTTAAATAATTGATTTTTAGCGACTCTTCGTCGGACCATTTTTTACCAATAAGAGTATTTTATAGAATAGTCAGACTGTGCAAGTATTGGACTATACGGTGAATATTTTAAAATACTCCAAACAAGTTCTGTCAATTTGTTTTGAGCCATCATATATATGTGTCGTCTGAAATTGTAATAAGGCAACACAAATCATTTTCTGTTGGCCAATTCTTGTCGCTTTTCTTGGATTGTTCAGTTCAAGCTGTTAAATAGTAGAGGAATAATATAGATAATAATTAGTAGAGGAGTTCGTAATAGATAATAATTATTTTCCAATCCCATTAAACATTTATTAGACTTTCAAGCTAAAATTTCATAAATATTAGAATGAGTATGTGAATCTTTGATGATGAAATCTTAAACAATTTTTTTTATTTAAACTGCGAAGTTAGATTAACAGAGTCAATTTTCTTTATTTAAACCATGAAATATTATAAAACGAGACTATAGATGAGAAATGAGATGAGTTATGAAAAAATAGGATTAAAAAAAACCCTTCCTAAAACAAAGTATATATAAATATCAAACATCAAAACTGACAATAACCAGATTAAATAGTTCAGTATTACCTGTTATTTATTTATGAGAGAAATTGCTTCATCACATGAATATATCTCGGTAACTCCTTAACTTGATGGCTTGAGTGTATTGTAATCTTACAAACCATTCATAAAATTATATCGTTTTACCGAGTTATTATGTTACAGAACAGATCTGAATGCCCCTTAAATATTTATTAAAATAATAGTACTCCTATTTTATAAGTACATACCACAATCCGCGTTCGCTTATTGGCTTAAACAGATTTAGTAGAGTGAACTTGGTCGGTTAGGTCTTTAGGCGCGAGGTATTATAATATACTGTTAAATATAAAAAGAGTAGGTAAAAATTAAAAATTTACTAGTCATCCAAAAAACCATAAAATTTCTTTAGTAAAATGGCACGTTGTAAGGCACGGAAGAAAAAAATTGCACAGAAGAAAAAATCCATACAGAAGAAGTGTGAACAGAAGAAGAAATGTGCCCGACCTGGACCGATTACAAGAAATCCTTTCTTCAATTTCTTACGGGAATTGCGGCAAAATGGTTGTACGGCTGACATAATTGAGACTGCCAAGTGCGGTGCTAAATTATGGAATTTATTAACTCCGGAACAAAAGCAAAAATACTGCAAAGTAAATAAATATATATATATATATATAGTAATTAAGTTCAGTTTTATTAGAACTCATATATTAAATACACTAAATTGCAGAAACTTCCAAAGAAACGTAAGAATCCAAATCAAGCTGCTTGCGCAAGAAATCCTCCAAAAAAACGTAAAAATTCATGCAAAAAACGTAAAAAGAAAATTGTATGTGCACAGAAGAAAAAACAAGTGAAACCAAGATGTGGTCCATCTACACCAGCCCGCAAGCGTAAGAGAAAAAAAGCGAAGAAGGACAAATGCATGAAACCAGGGCCTATTACAAATAATCCATTCTTAAACTACATACGATACTTTAAGAAACAGAATTGTGGTCTTTCACCCAGAGAGACAGTGCGAAGGGCTGCGTCTACTTGGAACCGCATGACACCAGAACAAAAGAATAAGTTTCAAGTTCAAGTAAGTGAATTTTAAAAACATTTACATTTTCATCAAAATCATAATAAATAAATAAATAATAATAATAAAATGACAAATTTAATAGGCATGTAAAGTCACAACAAGTGCTCGACGCAAGCGCACAAAATTGTGTCGTAGCGTTCTATCTGGAGCCAGTCCTAAAGGACGCAGTAAGTGCTGAAAAAAAGATATCCAGATATATTAAAAAAGAATAATTTGCAAAAGAAATGGTGAAAAATTTAAAAAAAGGAAGTGAATTTACTATCTCTTGATATTTAGAGAACACGATGAAAAAAATGCGGCAAATATGAAAATTGTATGACATATTCAAAGTATGACTAAATTCGAAAATGAATATTGAATAAATAAATTAAATTATTCAAATAATATAATTGACCTAAACATTAATGCTATTAATTTGAAGGATTTGATTAGATTGGGTTTGTTTAAGGTATTTGATACTTGGGGCAGTTCCATGGGTGAGTTAATGGGTGAGTATACGGATGAGTCTAGAAGTGATCATAGGGATGACCTTAGGAATGAGCATAGGGGTAAGCTTAGGTAGGAGCCTAGAGATTAGTCTGGAGGTGATCCTAGGGTAAGCCTGGAGGTGAGCCTAGGGATGAGCCAAGGAGTAGGGGTGTACCTACAGGTGATCCTAGGGTGATCTTAGGAGTGAGCCTACGGGTGCGTTTAGAAGTGACATACCAGTGACCATAGGGGTGAGCCTTAAGGTGAGCTTAGGGATTGTCCTTAGAATAATTGCCTTAAAGCATTGTTATATATATGCTATCGAAAGGCTTAAAACCATTTTGTATTTTTATTGAAACCTAAGATGTTTGGAGTTGAGTTTTTGCACCTAGCTAAATTCTGTAACCAATGTATAAACGTTATATCTACAATGAAACATACTTTCTGCATCTCTCTCATAATCAAGAAAATAGTTGAAGAAAATATTCAATATCCATTGTACCCCAATTGATAGCGGGGTATCAGGACATGGATTCTCTAACGAAGCATCTCAACGAATTAGTCAGATGTCCCAACAAAAGTATGAATCTCTGGGTATCGTATTTGATGGTTTTTTATAGCAAATCTTCAGCTAGTGGTTGCATAGCTCTACCACTATGGCTGTGTCAATAAGTGTTTCGAATGTGTTTTCGAGGTACCTAATGGTCTTAAAATTAACATTTACATTATGTTGACCAAAAACATATAGGACAGAAATGTTAAACTATGTTAGCATCTGGTTCAGAGATAAATGGTTATCAATAGCCGCATTAAATGTATTTTGAACTGGATATAATGCCGCTAACGTGGTGTGTCTATCTTATAGTGTAAATATATTTCTTTCCAATTTACTATGCACATGAAATATACATTTCAAGATGTATGATTCATTGTCAATTAGAACCAACAACAAACTTGTTGCTTTGTGTATTCGCACCCAGGGTCCCGACTCGCTTCCCCTCACCCCTTATAAGCATGATATGATATAAAATATTATTCCAGCTGTATTCCAGCTGTATTTCCAGTCAATTCCAGCTGTCTCAATAAATGGAACCTTTGCCTACAAATTGCTACAGTGATCAGGCAGTCCCAAAAAATTATAATTAATAATAATTATAAATTATTATAATTATAGCAAATAGAATGTCGAAATATTAAATATAATGGTGTTGACTAGTGGATGACTAGTTTCTAAAACAGTTGGTTGTAAGAGTGATGTATCAATAAGAAAATAAGTTCAATTAATAATACAAATGTTTTCAAAGCTTGATATAATATTTATAGTAAATGTTAATATTTTAGTTTATTACAACCAAAAAATTTGATTCATTGTTTCAATGACCAACATTTTTTTATTTATTGTTTTTATTTTTAATTGACCAATAAATCAATTGTTCAAATAATACTCAACTATTTAAATTATTTTTAAAAAAATATAGTTTGGTAAAAATAGAATATTTTGGTGATTGTCTAATTTTTATCAATTTAATGTTTTGTTTTTATTTGAAATAATAACAAAATATTTAAAATTTGAAAAATCTAATTTTTGATATTAAATAATATTAAACTCATATCTGTTATGTATTCTAGTGTATTGCTTTCTCTTATTTTAATTTAATTGAACTAATAAAATGTTTTTTTTTTAATTTTTCTGTAAATCCTAATATTTTGTTTTTGTTTTTGGAATTTTACGAAATGCAATTTTTCATACATTTGCAGAACAGGTTCGTTGCTTAAGTCTTTTGTTTTTTTATTTTGTACATTACATGCTGCAAAGACGCACAGTTACACACAAACTCGCTTGATACACACGCACTCACACACTTAAACACACACTAGGCTGGGCTGTGTGCAATTATTTTATTGGAATTATGGCAGTTGAAAGGCTAACATAACTTTAACTCAATTTTCCAGAAATAAATTTCAATTACGGCGCATCCTAATAATTTTATCTAAACACTTTAAGGAAAAAAAACCAAAACTTTTTTTTCTTTAATCATCGTCTATTGTTTTGTTTTTCTTTTCTGTTTTACTCGCTATGTACATTAAGTTTTGTTTGCATCTTTTCTTTTATGTATGTTAAAAATTCCTTTGATACCCTAAAACTGGTTTTTCTTGCATTTTCAAGCAACGCTCACGGTTTGTATTTAACCAACAACCAACAGCGAACCAACTATTAAAAACAACAACAACAATATAAACCAAGAACAGCAACAAAGTGTATTTATTTTATTATTTAGTGTTTTTTGTTTTGTTGTTGTACAAATGCACGTTTTTGTCCAGTCTAACTTGAATTTGTTGTCAGGTCACTTCACTTTAAATGAATCAAATCAAATATTTTGCTTTTTCTACTAACAAACAAAACCAAAACCAAAACCCAACAGAACAACACAAGACAAAAGAAAACAAAGTTAAAGCAAAGCAAAACAAAACAAAACAAAACCAATCAACTAACAACAGCAACTCAAGTTTTGATGGCAATAAAAGCAACAAGATGCACTGTTGACACAACAGAGCAAGTTTCCTAGTTTTTCTTTATTTTTCATTTCCTTCATTTACATTAACATCATTTTAGCAGTCTTTTATGTTTACATTAGAGAGTACATTTGCTTACGTTCCACTTCCATTTGCTGCAAAAAGAGCGTAACATTTTAATAGACACTGTTATGCTCACTGGAAGTTAACATGAAAATGTTATTATTTAACATTGAAATGTTAACTTTTTGAACATATTAAAATTAATTAAATTTAATATAAAATTTTGTATGAAATTATTTAATTTATTTTTTTATAAAAAAAATTAAAAAAAAACGAAAAAAAACATATAAATCAATCTTTTAATCAATCTTCTATAAGTCAATCTTTTATATAAACGGGTTCTATTTACAACAAAAATGAATAATAATATTAATAATTTCATTTATTATTATTAGTTGAAGAGAAAGTGGTAAAGTGGTAAAGTGGTAAACTAACTGTTTATGAAATAATAATTTATATAGTATATATTCTTGAATGAGCTGATGGGTAAATTGTTAGATTAATAGATGGTACTAGTACCATGAACATGACTACATACTATAGTCGAAATATTGATGGTACTACAACATAATTTTTAAAATTGGTTAAAAAATGTGCAATACTTAAACAGTTAAGCCTTTAACCCGTTCAAAAAAATTTTAAAAATAAAATTTATTTATTAAAACAATAAATTAAAAAATAATATTTTTATGAACTGCATTATCAATTTTAAGGCTTTAGTAGTAGATCAAATGTTTAAAGTACATATTGAGTGCAGCAAATCAAACCACTTTCCTTCATGGCAAGGTAAGGGGATATCACGAACTTAGTTCATCATATAAGATGAGTTTTTTCGCCATAAAATCACTTTTTGCTACCGCAGAACACTCAAACTTGTAGTTGCTCAACCAAGCAAACAAGCGATTTTTTCTTCTTTTTCCTTAATTTTACATCTGCTACAGTATTTATGATAGCGAACTCGTAACCTAAAATCGAGACTACCAAATTGCCAGTAATTGCTTATAAAAGCCAACCCCTTAGAGATATCCTGCCTTATGTTTCATATCCTGACTACTGGAATGCGATTTCAGTTGCAAATCCTTTACAGTCTGATGGCTGAAACCTTCTCAACTCGTTTCTAAGAAACGATTTATATATCTCAAAATAAACAAATAAAAAAATGATTCCTATTTTATGAATTTAAAATCTATAGTTGTGCGCTATGATTGCAACGTTAGTACCAAAAACAGCATAGTAACGTATAGGGTACGTCTTAACATTAGTCGCTACACATATTATTATTATTTAAATATATTTCGAATTACACTGAATCTGACTCTGAGCACATGACTTCCTAACAAAACTAGGTGTTAACACTTCTAAAATCTCTCAGATATTTTACTGACTTGTACTAGATCTGATTCCACACAAACCAAGTTGTATATTTTTTATTAAATTAAAGTATTTATATTAATATAAATATAAAAAGTATTTAAAGAATTAATGACATAACTAATTCCCGTTTGGCTTATCTGGTTCCATAGTTAACGATAGGATCGCATTATAGCCGTGCACTTGAACTTTTAACAAACATTTATAGTAAGAACTAAATCTGTAGTAAAAAATCTAATAAATATTAAACGATTACTCCATATCCATCTAAATATCTTTGATTAAATAGGCAGGCAAGTTCATATGTTGCCCGCTATATCGAGAGAAACTACGTAGTTCGAAAGTAAATATGATTAACACTTATACTCTTTCTAATAGAGTTGATTACTTGTAGAATAGAGAATGACTATAGTCATTCAATTCTTATAAGAATTGAAATCGTAATGCTGCAATACGCTGTAATTTTAATTAGGCTGCTTTTCAAATAGCTGACGCTAACCGAAAAAAAGGCACATAGTATTTCAATCTTCTCCTGCTCTATATCAACGACCATGCGTGAGGTATTAGAATAATCTCAAGATAAGACATTCCCGTCGTAAATGGTGACTAAAATTCAGATGGCAGAAGCCTTAATCTTTGGAGTACAAATGGTAGTGAATGAGATTTACATGTCATCCTGACACTTTTCTGGTACCATGGATGTCAGGGTCGACAGTTTCGGCTTTTTTTGACCAATTAATATTGAACGCCTAAGTGGGATCTAAAGTAATATTGGTAAAATGACGGTTCACATTGTTTTCTATATTAGACATAATACTGTTTAATATAACATTTTTTTTAAAGTAATTTTTAATCTGTCATAAAAAATTTAAGCTTCTTTCAAGAAGTACATGGTTAAAAATATATAATTCCTAACAATTATATGCAAATTTATAAGTAAACTTAATTCATTT